AAAACCTTTTAAAAAACTTAAAATCTTTGTTAATAAAATTGATAAAATATATATTAAATTATATTTTTTATATAGTATTACTAAAATTAATATTTAATATTTATAAAATAATTAACAATTTTTTTTAATTTTGCAGGCAAATTTGCCTGCTAGATAATCTAAGGGATAATTAGCAAGTGTTTTAGCCATCGTTTGATGAGCAGATTTCTATTGATTTGCTCTTTATAAAATAAAATATTCTTCTTGATTATTATCTTTTGTAAAATAAGACTAGCTTATTTGGTTAGATAATATTTTTATTAGTAATATTTTGGGAACTTGATGTTTTAGTTTAGTGTAAAATAGAACGACTATTATATGCATTATACCTTTCACATTCCTTAATTAAAAAATTAATATTAAGGCCATTTTCTGTTAAATATGAAATACTTGAAACTATAGTAAAATAATATATCAAATAATAAATAATTATTAAAAATCATTAGAAATTATTATTTTAAACTTACTAATTGAACTAGTTGTTGAAACACTCTGATTTACCAAATCTGCTTGTATCTGATATTCATTAATATCTGTTTCTTTGTCTGAATTCTGCTTAAAATTTAAAAAATCTGAAACTTCACTTGATGCCTTTCCAACTGCTTCAGAAAATTCAGCTATATTACTATCAATTTCATTAGTTTCAATATTTGTAGGTAAAAATGATACTTTTAAATCATCAATTAATTCAATAAGAACTATTGGCTGCAATATATTAATCGGTAAGCTGTCTGACATTAACATATTTAAATATTTAGCAAGTTCACAGGCAAGATGATATGATTGTCTAAAAACTTGAAGTATATCTAAGTCACTAGACTATTTTGTTAGATTTGAAATTGTATCAGCAGTCAAATATTCTTCATTATAATCAAAAATATATTCTAATTTATATTAATTAAATATCAAAAAAAAATTAGATATTACAATAAAAACATAAATAAAATTATATACTTTACCTTCTCAAACAAATTTTTTTTTATTAAATGATATATTATTATTTTGCAAAGATTTTGAATAGTGTGAAATTTTAGTAATCATTTATAATATTTTTGTAAAATCAAAATCTGCATGAATTTGTTGTGTTATCCTAAATACATGTTCATAAGCTTCAGAAGGAAATTTAGAATAATATTCATGATATGATTTAACGAGAAGAACCATAGATTTTGATAATGAATTAAAATAGAAAAGCTTTGTATTGCCATAAAATTTTTCTGAATAAACATAAAACACAGGTATTTATGTGATATACATTTTATATGATACTACCAAAGTTGTAAAAAAAATATGCTTTATACACATTCATATTCTTTCAATAGAATATATTTCTTGATTTAAATAACTATCTACAAGTTCACCTAATAAATATAATTAAATTTAAGTAAATTACGTAAAAAAGTAAATATTTGCAAAAAAAAAAATTTTTTTACCTAAAATAAACAGATAAATAAAAAGCTTTTGTATCCTTCTTTTATTTCATTCTGATTTTCTAAATATTAGGCTAAATTACAAAAACAAAAAGCTCAATATGCTGCTCTATCATGCTATCTATCTAGTTTTATAACATCATGTTTAAACATTACAGAAGTCGGAGAATCAGCCAACTTAAGAAATTGTTCAAAACATGTTGTAAAATTATCAAATGTTAAAATATGTGCTTCAAATATTACATTACAAGCTGTTTTTTTGCATGTTTTGGATCTTGGATTCTAATAATTAGACCAATATTCAGAAAAATAGGACATCTAAAGTTAATATTAAATATATCATCTTTGATTCTTATTTTATCAGTAGTTTGAATATTTGCAATAATTGATTGCGCTTGAAATTCTGTTACTACACCATCTGATCCAATTGAAATTATATTGAGATTTAATTGCGAACTAATTTCCAATAATTTTTTGTGAAAATTTGCAATTGTATTTGCAGAATCTGCTCCATTATTTGGTATAAATGTGATTATAACTAAAGGAAATTTTGGTAATAGTACCTATTAAAAAATACAAGTTATTTAATAATTTTTTTTAATAAATTATATGTGTATCTATTTACCTGTAAAATATAATCTCAAACATTATTTGCAATTGCTTTTTTATCTTTAATTAATTGAATAACTTTTGGAATATCATTATACATATGCACTTTAGTTTCATCTTGTGATCCAATAATACACTCAAGCTAAGCTGAGTAACAAAAATGAGATTTTAGCTAGTATTATCAGATATAGTTGCAATTGGACCATTATAATTTATTTTATCTAGAAGCCTTTTAAACGAACTACATTTTCAAAACAAAAATCTAGATTTGTAAATGTATCACTTGAATTAATACGTAAATTTCTAAATTTAAAAATTAAATATAGTTAGTTATAAAAAAATTTACTTATAATAAATATATATAAATAAATATTTACCTTATACTTTGAATATTTCATCCAGTTAAATTTATCAAAACAAATTTAATGCATGTAGACTAATACTTTTAAGTATAACTAGAAAATTGGTAAATTCGTTTGAATACTGGATATTATTTGTTGTCTTATTTTCCTCTTTTCATTTGAAAACTTGGCATATAACTTCACATAATTCTAAAATTACTTCTGAATTTTTAAATGCTCTATTAAGACATTTTTGTTACAAGAGTAATCTAAGGATTAGAATTTAATAATGAATCATTATCTTTAATTGTATTCCAAATGATTTGCAAATCAGTATTTCTTAAATGCCTTTTGATTACATCATTTTCAAAATACCAATTTGTTGTAAATTTTCAATTTTTTTCATTAGGTTTTTTAATAGCAACACGATTTACTAATATTGAATTTGATTTTAGTTATTCATAATTAACACAAAGACTATTTTCTGTATAATCACCAGTACAATTTTTGCATGAACACAATTGCCTATTTAATTAATATATTAAATTTAATAATATAATATAATATAATTAATTAAAATATTAAAATTTAAACTTACCATCACAATCAATTTTTCATTCAGCTTCTGAATATATTTGATGATTTAGCTTTCTTTTTTATGTTTTTTGTGTATAACTTAATTTTTTTCGAGTGAATTTTCCTGTAAATAAAGATAGAAATAACTTTTTACCAATAACCTCAACACGTCTTGCACCTTCAACTTGTACTAGGGTTCATTCAATATAATATTAAATTTTTTGAGAACATAATCCAAGACAACGAATTCTTTTTCTGATATTTGGTTGATCTTTATCTTCACTTGATAATACATTATCAGTATTATTATTATTTTATTCTACATTGACTAATATAATATCATCACTATCCATATCATCACAGATATTACTATCATATTCTTCATCAGAACTTATACCATCATTGTTATCTCTTTTTTTGGAACTAAACTTAAAAAAGCAATATATTGATCTTTGTTCTGATTTGTGATTACAACCATTTCCATTAGCATGTCTATTTAGATAATCTTTATCCTATTTTCGATTTAATTTTGACAGTTTTTCTACAAATACAAATCACTTATTTTGATGGATTATATTGGCACAAAATTCATCTTGCTTTTGAATATTTTCAGCCTACATTCACTTTAGTAAAAGTATTAAATGTCTTCACGATCAATAATTCAAAAAAGTAAAGAAAGAACAAAGAATAAATAAAATTGAATTATTGATTAACTAATTATAGAATATTAACATATAATTATCATTATTAAATTAGAAAAAGAGTCATAATTATTTGTTATTTTATTATATAAGTATAAATACCAAAATTGGTATCTATTACACAAACTAAAAGTATGACCTATAATAAAATGATTATACTATACAAACTATGCATCTGACTTATTATAAAAAATCACAAATCTACGCAAATATAATTTTGTGACTTTTTGGAAATTTTATAATATAATTAAGCAAACTCACATCTGACCTATATATGTCTTTCCAAATGTTTCTTCTATTTACACTAGTGATGCTCTATTACTCATACCTAAAAAAAAATAGTGTAAATAAATTTATAATAATTCATCTTATATAATATTATTTTACTTACATACTAATATAGGTGAATCTTCTATATAGAAGATTTTTCAAATTAGCTCAAATTGCTGGAACTATCAAATTTGTTAGATAAGTTCCTTCATTTAATGCTTTAGCTTCTTCAGGACTAAATGCTAAATTATTTCAAGAATCATTTCTAATAAATTAATGCTTCTAAGATAAATATATTCATAATTGCAATTTAACAATAGTATAATAACTTATAGCGTTTCTAAGATTTCATCAATGATTTTGGTAAGCTTCTCATTTGATTTCTTTCACTTTTCATAATGTAAAAGTACTTAGGTAATTTATTAGTGTCACAACTAGCGAAATCTCATATAAAATCATTATATTTCTTTCATATAAACCCTGGAAGAATAGTAGACACCATGCTTCATGTCGGTTCCTAATAACCGATTAGAATTAGAATTACATTTCTTATTTATTAATTTAATGAATATCTACCATAAAATTTTCACGTAATTATTTTGGCAACTTTTTTATTATATCTGATTCATCTGCAATAATTTGACTATACATGAAGTCAAAATAGATCATTTCAGATATCCAAAATGGTTAAAATAATCAAAATCATTATGACTATTAGAGGTCAAAAGTCAAAATTATCGAAATGACATCATATCATATGATTTTTATATATAAAAAAACAAAAAAACAAAAGATGTATGATCTCAGTCAATATTACACCGATTTGTATAAAACAACTACTATTCGATTTCTCAGTACTAGACGAATCCAATGAGCTAACATTCATTAATTTTAGATTATTCAATCTCAAGATAATCACAATTTTATTATCAGCTAAAATTATAAATCATTAAATTCTACTTTAAATAAAGGAATCTGGATTTCAAAATTTGATTGCATATATCTCAAGATTGGCCAATCTAAAATCAATGAATGTTAATTTATTAGATTCACCTAGTTGTGAGGAATCGAATGGTAGTTGTTTTATATGAGTTAATGCGATATTGATTAAGATCATATATCTTTGTTTTATTTTTTTTATAAATAAAAAATCATGTGATATAACGTTATTTTGACCATTTCGACTTTTCATTTTGACTTTGATCTCCAAAGTCGAAACATTTCAACTTTTGGGTTTTTATTTCAACTTTATGTATAAACTTAACTTTCAGCGGAACCTTTCATATTAATTCATTTGTAAATACCTGAATTACGACTAAGAATAAGTATTGATAAAGAATTGAAGTATTTTTTTAAGTTTAGATTTCAACTTATTTATATTATTTTTGATTTGAGCCAAACTAAGAGGTTTTCTTCGTTTACTTTTACAACTCCAATAGCTCACAAACTAAAAATAGCTTTATATGAAATGTCAAACTAACGCAAATATAAAATAATTAGTTTATATTCATATAAATAATATTATTTTCAGAGACGCATACGCTATCAGATTGTAAACAAAATTTTGTCTTTATAAGGTTAGCTACTCCAAAAATCTTATGCAATACTAAATATTAACACAAAATTAAATATATATATATAGCTTAAAAAATCCTCCCGCTGTTAAGAAAAATCCTGTTGGTAGGTTATAAGAAACTTAAACTATTATGCCCTCTTTCTTAGTGGTATCACTGTCTACGTCTTCATCATCTAAAATTAATATTTTTAGTCTGAAGCATTAGCGAAAGACTATATATGTCTATGCATTATGTTTCGTTATCTTTCTGCTTCTCATATCATGAGACAGTTACATAGTTACACTAATTTCTAAATAAATTAGGTAAATATCCATCCCAATAAAGTCATATCTAATATCTAAAATAATCTTTCAAAAGAAAAATATAAAAAAATTTTATTTTATTACAATTTCGTATTCTTTCTTTTGTCAAATAGATCAATTTATCAATTATTATTATCATTTAGAATAAATAAAATGAAATATAAACATAAATAATATAAATATAACCTTTTCGTTCGTCTGAATTATTTTTTTTTGTTATTATTAAAGTGTAAATTTATTGTTCATTTTCAAAGTATTATAGAAAGCAGATGCTCTTTTTCAATCTTTCTTTCTTGTAATCTTTTACAATTCTTAATACGTTGAAGTCTTTCGAAAGTGAATTGCTTGAAGTAAATATTGTTTAATGAATGAACTCATGATACTGCAATGAATGAAAGGCCCACCGCAAATTTTTTACTTCTGATATCTATTTTAGCCTTTGATAGGATGAGTTTCTGACTCTTATACACAGTAATTGCTCATGCTAGATAAACTGGTACCTGAAGTCGAAAACACAATGTTCCTGATTTACCTTCCTAAGTTCATTTAATTGGTACAATTGAAACAACATTGACTCCTTCAAATGTTATGATAGTAGGTTCTTCGTAGTAATCAAACTTAACGAAAACTGCTGTAAGAAGAGAAGGTGATCCCTATTTCTCGAATAGAATAATTGTTCTTTATTATTTCAAAACATTCAATTTACATGCAGTAAGTATCTAAAAATTGAGCTGCAGTTATGTCTTTGTTTTATTATTCATCCTAAACTTCCAATTGGGTGAAATGAGTTTCGCCCAAAATACCTATCATTTCTCTTTGTTAATATCATAATTGTAGCTGCAGTCATGTCTTTGTTTTATTATAACCATAGTGCCATAAATACAGTTTTCTTTGTTCTGTATCCAGAATTAGGGCGGATTTACCTAATTTAGAAATCTGCAATTGATCATTTTTTAATTTCATCCATGATCATATGTAACTTGTGAGAAGCTTCGGACTTAACAACAGTTCCTATTTCCCTAGTATAAGAAGTTGTCATTAACTTACCTCTGAAAGAATTTCTAGGAAAGTTATATGACATGAAGAATTTTGAATATTTTGACTATTTGCGAGGGTTACTGCCTGAGATATAATACTTCTCAACTCATCTTTTGATACCTATGGGTCATCTTCAATCCCTTGATAGATGACAGAAGCATCAGTAATATGCTCCTTATACATGAAGTCGAAATAAAAACCTAAAAAGTCAAAATGTTTCGACTTTAAAGGTCAAAGTCGAAATGAAAAGTTGAAATGGTCGAAATTACGTCATATCATATGATTTTTTATATATAGAAAAAACAAAAAAAACCAAAAGATGTACGATCTCGGTCATTATTGCTCTGATTCATATGAAACAACTACCATTCGATTCCTCGAACTCTTTCCTGAAATTTTTAGAACATTTTTTTTCAAAAATATTAAAAACTTTTAAAAATAATTTTTTCATTATACAAACTAAATACAAACAATATTAAAACATTTTATAACTATTATAACAATGACTTCTAATACTTTAGAACTTTATAGCGATGTTTTTGCAAAAGATACAAAAACTTTTTTACAATATATTGCTAATGTTACCTCACACCTTGCTAAAAGAGATGTGGCTATAGCAAAATTTCTAGGTTTTCAGACTCCTGAAATTTTTTGGCTTGTCAGAAAACTCAACTTTGAATATGATAAACTTTTTCCAGAAAAAATAGAACTTCCAAAAAACTTTATTGAACAGATAGCACGCACTAGTATTTTAACAATATACGAAACTGGAACAAACGACTTTGCCACTAATGTCACTAAAGACATCATCAACAACACCATAAACAATATTTTAGAGAACAATAATATTATTTCTATTGATGACACTTTCTCTCCTGAAATAGATATACTCGAAGTAGACGATATGGATTCTTCCTCTCAAATCACACACAAAAGACTCCCTCACCTTTCAACTGTCTCAACAAACGTTACTATCATCTCTCCAAATAATGATTTGATTATTTCTGACTTAGTTACGTGTCAATCACGTAAACAGTCACGTTAACAAAATAAAAACGCGTCAAATAATATTTTATCACGTGATAATAATAATTTACCCCTATTTTATCAAACACTAACACAGATGCGTTTATGCATAATATCAACAACAATATGCATCATAATACCTTAGATAAGGATGATCTACGTCACATAATCAATCACACTTTTCACACTTCTTCTAATAATAACAATAGTCATGTGATCGCAGCGGTTCTTGCTAATGTTCTTCCTGGTGATAATAGATTTGATCAATTAAGTTTGATCAACACTTGCTTTTCCAATAAGCCTGGTTTTATTAACTTTGATTGGAAATTTTACAACGGCAATGCCAACATTTTTATTGAATTCAATAATAGAAAACTCTTTCTTTCTGTGATCGATGAAGTTCTAATAACACATCCCAATATCCCATTTAATATTTTAAATCAAGATACTTCTCTTCCTTCCAATCCAAATGCGTCCATATATAGATTAAAAACAGTTCCTACTACGATCTCTCACCAATATATAAAAAGAGCATTATCTTATTATAGACTTATAAAAACATTGGAAGACAAATTTAGAAATCGTTATGATTCTTCTCAGGATGTAATTATCACTTTTAAAAGACTCACAAAACCACACCAATTGAACTTAGCCTGGGTCCATAATATTAATGGACTAGTTCTAAGATGTGCACATATTAATACATCTGTTAAAGATCTCAAAGTAAGAAATAGCTTCGTCGCTGATTTCAAAGGATTTTCAAATAAAACTACGCCAGCAGAAGCATTATGATCAATGAGACCTCATGAAGCCTGTTCTTATTATTTTCACAACAATATTGCTTACTTTGCATTCTCGAATGAATCTGATATGCATTGAGCTTGTTTAGCTAGAATTCTTCACAATGGATATAAATTGGATAGACGACCTAGAATCCTCAGTAGATTATACAACCCCACTCAACAAACCATTTCAGGTCACAACCCCAATTTAAATAAAAGATACAACAGACGTAATTCAGCTTCTCACAAATCAGGAGGTCAAATGAATGTTGATCACTATGTTTCATCTCTACATCCTATTCCTAATATTCCCGTCGATATCACACCAAAAAGCAAAAACAAGGATTCGTCTCATCTACCTTCTTCTAATACCAATGTTGATCCTTTAACTGCTATACTCAATAAACTACAAGAATTAGATTCAATCAAAGCCCATTTAGCCAAATTAGATGCTCAATTCTTAAATTTTTTCAACCATGATGAGGCTATTGTCCTACGCTTATAACAGTCACACCAGGCGAATCACAGTTAAATGATATTCATACTGATAATCTGAATATTCATAATAACAACATAGATGTGGACTTATTCTTAAAAACTCAAATTTTAACATTTCACACATAGAGAACCCAAATGACTAAAAAATTGGACATGGATATTGCACATATTGATGATCCCAATGTTGACACAATTATAGATGAAGCTGTTATTAAATTTTCTACACACAACGTTCTCAGTTTAGCTGAAAAGACTGATCCAATTAAATCCTCTTAAATTTTTAAACATTGCCATCTCA